TCGCATTTTATTGGAGATGTAATTGTTCAAAATGTTGACCATTTGAAAAGGGGGGGGGGGTACATGATGGAGTATGCCGATATTGCACATTTTACCACATGGCATAGCACAGATACAAATGTTGCGATTTGCAAAATTTAAACGGAATGTGAACAATTCTGAACTTTTTTTGTGGGGTAAGTACCGGAAGGAGTGAATCAAAATTGCCCATCTCCCAACTCGATATAAGTTTGATAATATTATTACTATTTACCAAGTCTGGACCAAATCGGATACTCCATGCTCACAGACGGACGGACAGGTGTCGATCGTCTGCAAATGTCATAAAACGGATTTTTCCCAATGTGATCCAGGGTCTAAAGCCGTTTTTGCCGTATTAAATGGGTTGCCCATATTCGACGGACGTTTGGGCCCATTCCAATCGACGAGGCTTGTCCGCAGGCAACGTTCTTTGCGTCAATTGAATTTTGTACGGGAACAAATGCAAATCAATGCGAATAATCCGTTGTAAAGTGGACCGAGCCATGCCCAACTGCTGAGAACGGCGTTTTTGGGATGTTCTTGGGGACCTCTCAACACTGGCTCGTACGGCAGCGATATTCTCGGCTCGGCGCACTTCTCACATTTTTTAATGTTTTAAAAGCACGTTGAGTTTTCACAATTGACTTCTTGTAAATTTCAACTATTTCAGAGCGCTCGCGTGGCGTGTATTGGTTCATGGTAAAAATCTGCTTGGACTGACGCTTCAAACGCGGTATGTTATTAAGTGATGTGACATCTCTGTCAAAAGTTATGGCGTTGGCAGATGGGTCCGTCGAATATGGGCATCCCTGTACCCTCTGTAGCCATATGTCTGGGGGTATAATCACATCTAACCACTGTACCATGCCCATTAACAACATCCACTGATATTCAATGCCCAATAATGTAGTTGACCCCAAATCGAAAATATAAACAAAACATCGACAAATTATATTGCTGCCATCATTGCTGCTTCTGCTCCTCCGCCACAAGAACATACTTTGTATTACCGTCAAACACAAATCATGTGTTTGTCCCCCCATTCCCGCATACGATCCCTTCGACATTTGCATCACATCATAAAAAAACACGAACGGAGTCTTAAAAAAAACAACAATCAAGAAGTGAGAGCACATTTTCCGAGTATTTATTTGTATATGACAACAACAACAGCTACAGAAACACCAGTTCAAATTTTATTGCGGCTTAGGGCAGTGCATTTTCATTTCATTACCCCTTTAGGTGGGGTAAGAAAACTCCAAGCAAACACGGCACAGCTTCTTAACAATTTCATATGAAACTAAGCCTTCCCCTAAGGTATTGTTGAGATTGTTGTTGTTCTCGTTGTTGTTATTACATTCAATTCAAGTTGGATGTTTTTTTTTTGTATTTGTTTATTTTTTATTAAACATTTTCACCATTTTCTTGGTTATGTAAATTTTTCGATTTTTGATGGGAAATTTGGTGAACTACAAGTGTTTTCCCAATCCAAGATAAAAGGGTTCAATACCGTCAAAACAGGTGTGACGTTTGATGATTTCATCCGTGTTCAGCGATTGCTTGTAGCCGGTTCTCTGTGGGGGAGTAGTTAGGGAAATGACATTTCGTTGCACCGAACACAATTGGAACAAGTGTCAGTCGTTATGTCAATGAATTTTCTTTGGAGTATTGTTGTTTGTGGGGCAAATTATATTTCACATTTGAACTCTGCTGGTGGTCGATGTGAGATGTTAGAGGATTTTTTGTTGGGGTTTAATGACATGTTATTGTTCTTTTTTGAAAGAAAGTTTTATGGGGAAAATTGGAAGGTGTGTCTTTTTTGAAGAAATCCGTTTCAGGACATTTGAAGTCGAACTGGCCAGGTTTGTCCACATGTCTGTCTGATTGGCACCATAACATCAATATTTTCATCAAATTCGGAGCAAATTCGAAAAAAACATGGTCCTCACCCACGAAATTTCAAAATCACAAAAATTATATTTCTTGTAGTAAATGAATAGGAAATTCGATTTAGCTGCATCCTAATTTATATAAGACTTAAATATTGTATGAACGAACAAATTCGGCCTACTTCTTTTTCTCCCTTTTCCACAAAGCCTCTATATTAAATATTAAAGTTTAGAAAGTTTCTGTTGATGTTCCGAAAGATATGAATCCCCCATCAATTGATCATTAATTTGTGTACAATCCATTCGGAATGGATCTGCTTGAAATATGGCACCTTTTTGATAGAGATACCAGAAGGATTGGACTGACACGTTTTCATGCGAGATCTAATTATGCCTAATTGGATATGTGAGGCTTGAGTTTATGAGTATTATTGGTGATCTATAAAAGGGGTTTGTACGAGAAACAGTGAACAATATTTTTCATGTTCGTCAAAATATGAATATACTAAAAAGTTTCGAATCGTTGTTTTTTTTCGAGTATTTAATTTGGATTTTTGTGGAAAATATTTAGAAACGTCTCTTACACTTATTGGAAGCCAACTGACAGAATTTGGTACATTTTTCAAAACAACGTACCTATCTCAATATGAGGTGGAATCCAAAATTGCCCAGAATAGAAAATTTTAAAATTCTGGTTCTTCCTATACAACCAATACAAAACAAGGAAAAAACAGTTCGACCGGGCCAAACTTTTAATACCCTCCACCTTAGGCTAAAGGAAACATTAGAGCCCATTATGCCCCCCATATACAAATTTTTAGACATATTCATGAGAAAATGTGCCAAAAATCATCAAAATACCTAATATTGTGAAAAACGGCTATATGGAGCTATACAAAAACGGGGACTTATACATACAGTGTTTCCCCAAAAGAGCTAGAACCCATTAAGACCAACAAATACCAATTTCTAGACAAATCTGCGAAGAAATGTGGCAAAAACCATTAATATGCCAAATATCGGGAGGTACCGTTATTTGGGGGCTATACCAAATCGTGGACCTATACATTCAATGTTTCGCCAAAGGAGTTAGAACCCATTATGACCTACAAATACCAATTTTCAGACAAATCTGTGAAAAAATGTGGCATAAATCATCAAAATACCGAATATCGGGATGTACCGTTATGTGGGGACAATACCAAACGGTGGTGCTGTATCGTTATTTTAACAGACTTAGAATTTTATGCTGATTATGAATATATATATATATATATATATATATATATATATATATATACTTTATGTGATCTACGACCAATATTGAAGGATGTTACAAACGTAATGACAAAGGTGGAGGGTATAAGTAATATACATGCCACGGTCGATTGATACGAGCGGAGAGCGACCATCGGCTGTTAAGGCGGCCCACACCATCACCATGGTTCTGATGGCCAACCGAAGGTGCACATTTTCAGCCGACTTCTTTGGCAAATAAACACGATCATTTTTTTTGTTTACAAACTTCTGGACAACGAATGTTTTCTCATCGGAAAAAAACCAAGTTCGACAGTTCACCACTTTCGTCGAAGCGAAGCAACTCTTTAGCTCTTTTGAGTTTATCTTCTTTCTGTTGCGGTGTCAGTTCTTGCACTTTTTATACCCTCCACCATACTATGGAGGGTATATTAGTTTTGTCATTCCGTTTGTAACTCCTCGAAATACTCATGTCAGACCCAACAAAGTATATATATTCTTGATCAGCGTAAAATTCTAAGACATGTCCGTCTGTCTGTCTGTCACCAGAATTGTTTAAAATTTGCCAGGTCTTCGTATAGACTATATATCAGTATCTCTCTAAATTCGGTATTTTGCAAATTTTGGGTACAATACTCACCGAAATTGTTTGAGATGTCGTATTTGAAGTTGATAATGGAAGCTACAGCCTGTGACAGAAAATTGTCTATGCTTGTGCAGGTTTTTGTATAGCTCCGATATAACGGGACCTCCCTATGTACGGTCTTTTGATGATGTTAGCTACATTATTCACTGTTTATTTCAAGCTTCGAATTTGAATATGTGACAAACAATGCATATGTAGATGCACGTTATACAGACCCTAATATAACGGCTATATTCGGTATTTTTAAGATGTTAGCAGAATTTTTGACAAATGTTATCTTTTTCGAAAATTTCCAAATTCGTTCGTTCGGGTATTCAAAGTACGGCCCGGCCGAACTTACTGCTTTTTAACTTGTTGGAATTTCAATGGTTTTACCCCGAGCTCATTTTCAATATTTACCGAATGGAATATTGCGATATGTTCAGCTCACGAGTCATTTTTTGGCCACTGCGACGAGGGTTTCGATCGCTTCTTTACTTTTCGAACCATATCTGTTGATTTATGTGTTTGTTTCTCTCTCTCTGTTAATGTTGCTGTTTTCTGCCGTCCACTTCCTTGACGTCGAGCTAGGCTACCAGTTTCGCTACGATTGAATTCTATCGGGAATAACTTTTTTTCTGGAAATTTCCCACTAAAATGCTTTTGTACGCTTTTAAACAATATAATCGGCTGTAACTGGAATAATTTTAACAGCTGTCGGACGAGTGGCTTAGAAATGACAGCAGTCTGAAATTGGTTGCAGTTTTTTCATCTCACCCTGTATAATCATGATCAGCGTAAAATCCTAAAACGATTTAGTCCTGTCCGTCTGTTGTAATTGCGCTGGAGTCAAAACAAATGAACTAAACTTTTGCACAGATCAGTCTTTTGTCTGCAGGCAGTTCAAGTTCGAATTTTTTACGATTTTTTTTTGGAATTTCCGAACTTAAAATTACAAAATGCCGATATCGGATTAAAAGTGACTCTGGTTTTAAAGAATATATTTTCACAAAGAGTCATAGATATAATGTTCAGTTTTTAAATAGTATTTTTTCAAGGAGTATCAGAGCTATGTAGAAGAGTTCGTAAGGACTCTCAGTGCTAAAATCGTGAATTTTGTAGACGATATTTTTGCTAGACAATAATCGTTAATTTTTTAATCAATATTGTGGACATGTTTTAAATATATTTTGTTTTAAATATTAACATTTATTTTTATAAATTATCAAAAAGAGTATTTTACTGTACAAAATTACAAAAATCAATTATTTTAATTTCTTTTGACTATTTAGATCTATTTTAGGATGCAGAAACAGCATTATTTTATCACGCATCCATGCCGAGAGGAACCTGTAACAAAAAAAAATTAAAAATAAATAAATTGAATTTATTTGAGAGACCTTAACATACAATTACATATAATATGATTGGAAATTGGGGATGTTATATAAGAACTACTAGCTGAACCCGGTGCGCTTCGCTACCCCTTTTGATTTTATATGCATTCAAAATTTTATTTACGAATATATGTTGGATAAAGAAAAACAAATTTAAAAATTAAAAAAAAATATTGCACTAATTTAATGCGTTAATAAACAAAATCATTACAAAAGCAGTAACATGACATGCATACACGAAGGGTTTGTCCTTTGGATTTATTTATTTCATTGCAAATACCAAGCGTGCAGGAAACTGCAATTTTTTTAAGTAGAGTGGCATTTCTATTGCAAGTAGTGAATTCGAGATAGCAACATACTTCGCCGTAATAAGCGTATTTCAAATAAATTGTTGTGTTGTTTTTTAGTGTTAGCCTAAGGCGTTGTGGGTCAATGGTTCTTATTAAAATCATATCCCAATCTGATCCGATTTAAATATAATTTAAAAAAAATTACTTTTATACCAAACTCCGCTACACCTTTCATATTTAATTGAAATTGGTGCGTCAAATATGTGAAATCGGCCGAGAATATATATATGGGAGCTATATCCAAATCTTAACTAATTTCCAATTAATTTATCACATTTAATATTATAACAAAATTCCGCCACACATTCTGAATTTCATTGGAATCGGTCATATATATCGTGTTTGGTGCATAATATGTATGAAATCGGCCGAAATATATATGTTAGCTACATCCAAACCTCAACTTATTTCAATATAATTGTGCAATTTTTGCTGGTTCCAGATTTTGTCTCTCTCGCTTTGGGTGCATCAAATATGTGAAATCGGCTGAGTATATATATGGAGCTATAATCACATCTGAGCGTATTTGAATATAATTTGTCAAATGTGCATCAAATATGTGAAATCGGCGGATAATATATATGGGAGCTATATCCAAATCTGAACCGATTTTAATATAATTTGACTAATTTATTTTCTAATCAAAATCCCGTTACATATTCCAAAATTCTTGGAAATCGAACATACATATCGTGTATGGTGCATAAAATACTTGAAATCGGTCGAAAATATATATGAGAGCTATATCCAAATCTGAACCGATTTTAATATAATTTGACAAATGTATATTTGTTTTAATTTCCGCTACACATTCCAAATTTCATTGAAATTAGAGATACATAGCGTGTTTGGTGCATCAAATACATGAAATCGGTCGAAAATATATATGGGAGCTATATTCAAATCTGAACCGATTTCAATTTAATTTGACAAATTCATTCTGGCTCCCAATTCCGTTACTTATTTTAAATTTCATTGAAATTGGGGATACATAGCGTGTTTGGTGCATCAAATACATGAAATCGGTCGAAAATATATATGGGAGCTATATCCAAATCTGAACCGATTTCAATATAATTTGAAAAATTCATTTTTGTTCCCGATTCCGTTACTTATTTTAAATTTCATTAAATTTGGACATACATATCTTGTTTGGTCCACCAATCACATGAAATCGGCCGAAAATGTATATGGGAGCTATATCCAAATCTGAACCGATTTCAATATAATTTGGGAAATAAATTTTTTTAGATAAAATCTATCACACGTTTCAAATTTCATTGAAATTGGGGATACATAGCGTGTTTGGTGCATCAAATGCTTGAAATCGGCCGAAAATATATATGGGAGCTATATCCAAATCTGAACCGATTTCAATATAATTAGACAAATTTATTTTCGGATCAAATCCCGTCACATATTCCAAATTTCATTGGAATCGAACATTCATATTGTGATTGAGGCATCAAATGAACGAAATAGGTCGAAAATTTATATGGGAGCTATATCCAAATCTGAACCGATTACAATATAATTTAGCAAACTTATTTCTGTTCCAAATTCCGTTACACATTCCAAATTTGGAGACTGTATCTTTAACCGATCAATAGATATGTGCATATAAAATCTAAATTTTTGGGAGGTACCTCCGATTCTGATGCTATATCTCCAGTTCCAAGTGGAAATTCAAAAATTTATATAGCCTATGTTACTTTCAGGCGATGTTGCAGTATATATGGAAATTTTCAGAAAAATCTATTCAGCAGTTTTCGAGTCCATAAATTACAAACAAACAAACAAACAAACAAACAAACAAACAAACGTACAAACATTTTCCTCTTTTATAGATATAGATACAAAATCTTGAACTACCTCAATATTTTTTGTTAGGACTAAAACTATCCGGAAATAAGAAATACTGAAAATAGGCAGGTGCCTTTATATGGAGGCTATATATAAATGGGGATCGATATATTCCACATTTATGAGTTAGAAAGTATAAGTCGTTTGTTGGCATATACCTAGTTATATCACCAATATTTGCATAAGATCTATGTCTGCTTATGTATCTTACGATACTTCTGATACGAAAGAAAATCGTCATTTCAAATGTGTTTTTACCCTCTACCATTCCATGGAGGGTATATTAACTTTGTCATTTCATTTGTAACTCCTCGAAATTCTCATGATAGACCCTACAAAGTATATATATGCATCTGCATCGGTATTTACATAATATAAGATGAGATGATATTATTAGTATTTAAAGTTCGGATTCGGTACTACAACCTATGACATAAAAAAATTTAGGTTCACATTTGATAGCCCCCATATAACGATATTTATTTCATTGGTATTTTTCGGCGGATTTTTTTGTCTATTTTGAAACTATAGTCAAAAAGTTGGTAATACCCAACAAAACATCAACAATTTAAAAAAAGGAGTAAGTTCGGCCGGGCCGAACTTTGAATACCCTCTACCATTTGGAACGAATTTGGAAATTTTCAAAAAATAAAATACGTTAAAAATTCTGTTAAAATCTTAAAAATGCCGAACATAGCCGTTATACACGTGAGGACGTGAACCTACATAGGCATTGTTTGTCATAAGCCATTACCATATTCAAATTCGAAAACTTGAAATAAACGGTGAATAATGCAGCTAAAATAATCAAAATATCGTATATAGGGAGGTACCCTTATATCGGAGTTGTGCGAAGACCTGGACCAACATAGACAATTTTCTGTCACAGGCTATAGCATCCATTACGAAGTTCAAATACGACATCTCAAACAAATTCGGTGGGTATTGTACCTAAACTCGTCAAAATACCGAATTTTGGGAGGTACCATTATATGGGGGCTATACGAAGACGTGGACCTGCATAGACAATTTTCTGTCAAAGACTGTAGATTCCATTACAAATTCCAAATACGTAATTTGAAACTATTCCGGTGAACAATGACGATAAAATCATCAAAATACCGAATATTTTAAGGTACCGTTATATGGGGGGCTATTCGAAGACGTGGACCTATATGGCTCATTTTCTGTCTTGTGCTGTAGTATCTATTACGAACTTCAAATACCAAATTTGAAATACTTCTGATAAATAATGTCGCTAAAACCATCAAAATACCGAATATCGGGGGGTACCGTTGTATGGAGGCTATACGAAGACGTGGACCTTCAGAGACAATTTTCTGTCTTAGGCTGTAGTAACTATTACGAACTTCAAATAGCAAAATTTGAAATACTTCTGATAAATAATGTCGCTAAAATCACCAAAATACCGAATATCGGGAGGTACCGTTATATGGGGGCTATTCGAAGACCTGAACCTACATCGCCCATTTTCAATACCAAAAGTCGTGCAGACACATTTAAGTAAAATTGTATCAACCTACTTCATTCCGTTCGGAAGTTAGAGTGACTCCCACAGACGGACAAACGGATAGACGGACGGACGGACGTAAACTCGTCAAAATACCGAATTTTGGGAGGTACCATTATATGGGGGCTATACGAAGACGTGGACCTGCACAGACAATTTTCTGTCATAGGGTGTAGTATTCATTTCGAACTTCGAATACCAAATTTGAAACAATTCCGGTGAATCATGTCGCTAAAATCATTAAAATACCGAATATGGGGAGGTACCGTTATATGTGGGCTATACGAAGACGTGGGCCTTCACAGATAATTTTCTGTCGTAGGCTGTAGTATCTATTACGAACTTCAAATACCAAAATTGAAACAATTCCGGTAAATAATGTCGCTAAAATCATTAAAATACCGAATATGGGGAGGTACCGTTATATGTGGGCTATACGAAGACGTGGGCCTTCACAGATAATTTTCTGTCGTAGGCTGTAGTATCTATTACGAACTTCAAATACCAAAATTGAAACAATTCCGGTAAATAATGTCGCTAAAATCATATCAACCTACTTCATTCCGTTCGGAAGTTAGAGTGACTCCCACAGACGGACAAACGGATAGACGGACGGACGGACGTAAACTCGTCAAAATACCGAATTTTGGGAGGTACCATTATATGGGGGCTATACGAAGACGTGGACCTGCACAGACAATTTTCTGTCATAGGGTGTAGTATCCATTACGAATCTCAAATACCAAATTTGAAACAATTCCGGTGAATAATGTCGCTTAAATCATCATAATACCGAATATAGGGAGGTACCGTTATATGGGGGCTATACGAAGACGTGGACCTGGACCGACAAATTTCTGCCTTATGCTGTAGTATTCATTTCGAACTTCGAATACCAAATTTGAAACAATTCCGGTGAATCATGTCGCTAAAATCATTAAAATACCGAATATGGGGAGGTACCGTTATATGGGGGCTATTCGGAGACGTGGACCTTCAGAGACAATTTTCTGTCTTAGGCTGTAGTATCTATTGCGAACTTTAAGTATCAATTTTGATTCTGGTAAATAATGTCGCTAAAATCATCAAAATATCGCATATCGTGAGGTACCGTTATATGGGGGCTATACGAAGACGTGGACCTACATGGCTCATTTTCTCCGTGAGGCTGTGGTCTCTATTGCGAACTTCAAATACCAAATTTGGAATAATTCCGGTGAAAATGTCGCTAAAATCATATCAACCTACTTCATTTCGTTCGGAAGCTAGAGTGATTTCCACAGACGGACAGACGTATAGACGGATAGACGGACGGACGTTGCTAAATCGACATAGAATTTTATGCTGATCAAGAATATGTATACTTTGTGGGGTCTAAAATGTATATTTCGAGGTGTTACAAACGGAATGACAAATTTAATATACCCTCCATACTATGGTGAGGGTATAAAAATTAATATTATTTTTTTGCCTCATCGAAGCTAAAAATAGACCATTCAAACCCAACACAAAAACATAGAAAACATATTCTAAGAAGGTAAACACCAACTATGAACTTGGACTTTGGAATTAAAGCTCTCATATGTCACACTTACTCTTGCAATTTGAAGCCTACAATACACTGGCGGGGTAGTGTCAATTCATCGACTCCTTGTAGCATAGCATCCACGGCCTCCTTTGCCACAAAATCCCCATCCAAAACTGGTGCCAGTTTCCCGAGGCCACTTGAATTGACAATCTGTTCGGTGGGCTGATGGGTGGTCATGTAGGTGGGCATAATGGTGGTGACATTAATTCCGCTGTACTGATTCAAATCCATGCGCAGCGAAGCCATGTAGGAACGTACGGCACCTTTGGCCGGGCCATAAATTTGCAATTGGGCCGTATTGAAAAGACCACTCAGTGAACTGACAGACATGATGAAGCCACGATTGAGGGCTTTCATGCGTGGCAAAAATAGCTGATTTATCCAAACCTGGGAGGTGAAGTTGACCGTGATGATTTTTTGGATTTCCTCAAAATCTCGGGGTGTACTATCGGAAAAGTAGACAATACCCGCGTTGTTGATCAACAGTGTAATGTCGCCAAAATCTTTGGTAACCTGAGCATGGAATTCCACCAGTTTTTGGTGATCTGTTATATCAACCTGAAATAAAATACTGAAATTCATATCTTCCCAGGAAAAAAAACTCCATTTTCATTACCTTATAAGCCTTGCTCTTTATTTTAAATGTTTTCTTCAGATACTCTGCCGTCTCCTGGGCTTTGTGCTCCAAAATGTCCACCACGGCAATGTGACAACCTCGTCTGGCCAATTCGGTGGCCAATCGACGTCCCAAACCTTGAGCTCCTCCCGTAACCACGGCCACCTCCCCTCGCACCGTGGCCTCTGGATTCCGCACGAACAGCCATCGAATAACACTGACCCACAACAAAATCGGAAAGAGTAGAATCGTTACCAACAAATTCATCCAATAGATGACATTGCTTCGAATATTTTGATCCAACATTGCGTAACGAGACTTCGTCGCGACGATAGAGCAAAAGACGACGACGACGACTGGTGTTGGTGGTGCTCACGTTTCGGCAGTTAAACTAAAAATGTTTGTCGTTTAGAGTTTTGTTTTTTTGTTTGGTTCACTCTCTCCGCCTACCTGCGCTCCCTAAACTGGTTTCGGCCACTCATCACCATTACTTTTTGTTGTACCTGAGATGAGAAGAGAGTAATTTTATTCTGGATTAATCCAAGTGAAAGTGAAAACCAGACTCGAGCATCGATTTAACTGATCTTTGGATATTTTGAAATGCCATCGTCGTCGTCGAACAATGCTAGAAAGAGATGGAGAATTTATGTTTACCAAGCAGTAGGCCACTAATATTAGCAGGTAAATTTGAAAATCTATCTGCTTATGTTGTTAAATAGACATAATGGAAATATTCAGTGTGGTAGATTTAGTAGAGCCGTTCGCCGCCAATATTTAATTAGGTCAAATTAGTATTAACAAGTAAAAAAGCTGTGAGTTCGGTCGGGCCGAACTTTGAGTAACCTCCACCATTTGGTACAAAATTTGAATTAATTCCGGTAAATAATGTCGCTAAAATCATGAAAATACCGAATGTCGGGGGATACCGTTACATGGGGGCTATACGAAGACGTCGACCTATATGGCCCATTTTCTGTCTTATGCTGTAGTATCCATTTCGAACTTCGAGTACCAAATTTGAAATAATTCCGGTAAATAATGTCGCTAAAATTATCAAAATACCGTATATCGGAGGTACCGTTACATGGGGGCTATACGAAGACCTGGTCCTGCATAGACAATTTTCTGTCACAGGCTGTAGCATCCATTACGAACTTCAAATACGACATCTCAAACAATTTCGGTGGGTTTTGTACCTAAACTCGTCAAAAAACGGAATATAGGGAGGTACTGATATATGGGGCCTATACGAAGACCTGGTCCTGCATAGACAATTTTCTGTCACAGACTATAGCATCCATTACGAACTTCAAATACTAAATTTGAAACAATTCCGGTGAATAATGTCGCTAAAATCATCAAAATACCGAATATGAGGAGGTATCGTTATATGGGGGTTATACGAAGAGGTGGACCTGCATAGACAATTTTCTGTCACAGACTGTAGTTCCCATTACGAACTTCAAATACCAAATTGTAATAACGTCGTAATAGTCATTAAAATACCGAATATCGGGAGGTACCGTTATATGGGGGCCATACGAAGACGTGGACCTGCATAGATATTTTTCTGTCTTAGGCTGTAGTATCCTTTACGAACTTCAAATACCAAATTTGAAACAATTCCGGTTAATAATGTCGCTAAAATCATCAAAATACCGAATATCAGGGGGGGTACAGTTTTATGGGGGCTATATGAAAACGTGGACCTACATGGCTCATTTACGAACTTAACCTGTCTACTGTAAAAATAAACATGTGTGCAAAATTTTAGCCTTCTATCTTAATTTGTTCGAAAGTGACATCCATATAAAATTTCAAGATTTCAGCTCTATTCCTTCATATTTCAATTCTAGAAACCAACAGTGACCTCAATCTCAAATTTTATGATTTAAAATCTATCCATTCAGTACTTTTCGAATAATTATAGTATGCATTGCCAAATCCACCTCCTTCTTTCAAAACTATATACCAACAGTGGTCTTCTGATCTCAAACACAGATACCATCAGTCATCTAATTATCAAATTTCAGAATTTTATCTCTATCTCTTCACCCAATACCAAATTTAGTACTATTTAGTACTTTTCGTACAATTATAGTACACATTTCCGAAACCAGCTTCTTCTCTCATTTGCAGACAACAACAGTCCAACATCTATATCATATTTCAGGATTCCATTTCTAACCCTTCACCCAACACCAGATTTTCTACTATTTAGTACTTTTCGAAAAATTTAATTATACATTTCCAAAACTACCTTCATATCTCAATTCCAGGTATTAACAGAGATCTAAATATTAAATTTCAGGATTCTAGACCTTTCCCTTCATCCAATACCAAATTTAGTGCTATTTAGCACTTTTCGTACAATTATAAGACACATTTTCGAAACCAGCTCCATATGTCCAGGCTAGACCCTAATACCAAAATTCGGATTTTAAGCACTATCTGTTCGCCCAGTACCAAATTGTACGAAATATAGTACTATTTAGTAATTTTCGTAAAATTATGGTACGCATTTCCAAAACCACCTTCATATCTCGATTTCAGATACCAACCCATCTGTATCCTTTTACCAAATACCAAACTTAGTATTATTTAGTACTTTTCGTACAATTATAGTACACATCTTCAAAACCATATCCATATGTCCACATGAACAGCGACCGTAATATCGAATTTCTGATTACAAGCACTATCTGGTCACCCAAATACCAAATGGTACCAAATATTGTACTATTTAGAACTTTTCGTACAATTATAGTACACATTACCAAAATTACCTCTTATCACCAACCTATCTACCAACAGGGACCCCAATACAAAATTTCATAACTCATCCGTTTACCCTAAACTAAACTCTTCCTAGTTTACTACCTTTTGGTACACTTCGCACACGCAGTACATATTTTCAGAATCACCTTCATATATCAAACTTACTGTCCAAAGTGAATTCTCATACAACTTTTTTTAACTCTATTCCTTCACATAATACCAAATGGAACCATTTTAGAATTTTTCATAACCTTAAAGTTTGAATTTCCAATTATCCTTTGGTGCATCTATCCTGCACTTCATCGGTGATTCTTATTCCAAATTTCAGAATTCTAGCTCCATCGGTTCATCATAATTCCAATTTGTACCAAATTTAGTAACATTTAGTACACATATGTACGAATTTCCAAAATTTTATATACCCCAATTTTACACTCCCGCAGTAATGCCAATTCCAAATTTCAGAATTCCACCTCCCCCTCTTGGTTGTCCCAAATACAAATTGTACCAAATTTAGTACATTTTTACATTAATTTCCAAAACTACCTTCATATCCCAAATCGTACACTGTGAGAGCAATCTTATTTCGTAATTTCAGGATACCAGCATTTGTATCTTTTGAATTCGGACTTGTATTGCCCATTTCGTGCACAATTAATTTGAAATCGGATAAAGATATATATGAGAGCTATATCCAAATTGGAACCGATCTCCATAAAATTTGGCAAAGATATTTCTGAGCTGTATTTGATATATTTCCTTGAATATCGTTGTTACGGAGTGAATATTACGGCTGTTGGTAACAAATATGACAAATCGGATGAACAGTATATATGAGAGCTATAGCTATATCTGAACCGATCTTCACCAAATTTGATATACTAGCTTCTAGACTCAATTCGTTCGTACGTGCCAAATTTCATCCAATTTGGGCAAATATTAGAAGTTTGGTGTACAATAAAAGGTAAATAGGACGAAGTTATATATGGGAGATATATCCAAATCCGGACCGATCTCGATAAAATTTAGTAAATGTATTTCTGAGCTGTATTTGATATATTTCCCCAAATATTGCGTTTAAAGAGTGCATATTATGGCTGCGGAGGACAAAAATAACAAATCGGACGAAGATATATATGGGAGCTATATCTAAATTTTGACCGATTATCCCCAATTTCAATAGGGTTCGTCCTTGGGCCAAACAAATGATTTGTGCAAAATTTCATCTGGATCGGGTAATAAATGCGAACTTTGTTTACAAAAATACAATGATAGACGGACGGACAGACAGGCGGACGGACAGACGGACGGACGGACATGCATAAATCGACTCAGAATGTGATTCTATGCAGATTATCAAAAGGAACTATGGGTCAATCTCGTTTCCTTTTGCCTGTTACAAACAAATGCACAAAGACATAATACCCTGACCCCCTTGCGGTGTGGGGTATAAAAATTTCCAAAACTACCTACATTCCTCGGTCCTAGAATGCAATAGCGATATTATTTTCAAATTTTAGGATTCCAACTCTATCTGTTCATCGAAATCTTAATTGTTCCAGATTTAGTACCACTTAGTACTTTTCGTGCACATAAGTACAAATTTCGAAAATTTCCTTCATATTCCAATCCTATACTCGTCCAGTAATGACAATTTCAAATTTCAGCATTCCAGCTACATTTGTTCCTCCACATACAAATTTAATTGTACACACTTTCAAAACTATCTTCTGCAGCGACTGTTCTCCTAAACCTTGATTCCCATTTCCAAATTTCAAGCTTTTAGCTCTAACCGTGCACATGACATGAAGTGGTACCAAATACAGTACTTTTCGTACACTTTTTGTGTGAATATCCAGAAACCTTCTGGCACATCCATCACACACTCCTTTAGTGACCCTTTCTCGAAATTTAAGAATTCTAGCTCTAGTGCTTCCCCAAATGCAAATGTTACCAGAATTTAGTACCTGTTAATACTTTTCGTAGCGTTCTAGTATGAATTTCCACATGGCTTGGCTATTGAGTGGTGATATAATTTCCTTGGTGGCGATTCTATTACAAATAATATTTGAATATTTTTTTTCAAAATTTTGTTGTTGTTAAGTGTTTACTTTAAGAAGTGTACCGGATATGGCAAAGGAAAATAAATAAATAAGTGACAATTTTGAAAAAAATCTACCGGCGTCAATGGGAACCTACAAAATTCACGATGAAGCTAATTTGTTTACAACGAAAAAATATTGAAATGCCTGACACTTGTCGGTTCTTTTTTCATTTCAAATGATTTCCAATTTTAAAATATAGTTTTCAGTCATCAATGTTCTACACCTTCAATCGTCCACAAAAGTCCAATGTTCGCCCAACCATTAATTGTCATTGACACATGTGTGACACTCTTATTCGGGGGGTTTGAGGTGAACATGAAGTTGCAGCATCATTTGGAGCCACAACATAAACACACCATCTTCAAATTTATTGAGAATGCCTAGAAATGCATTATTAAAATAAACATTGATGTTGAATACTCACAAAAAAAAAACCGAATAGCATCGATCGAAAATAAAAAATGGGGGGAGGGAGAGATTTAAATATTAAGAAAAAAGAAAACAAGAAAATCTGATATGATGTGTATGACAAACAATAAAA